AATGGCGATGGTGCCTACAACTTTCCTGACCAAGAGATATGCACAACCGTCGATCAACACACAAGCCATTAATGTTATCTTCCAATATGAGAGGCCATGATAAACACACAAGCGTCCTTTTCAAGCTCGGAAATTAAGTCATCACCAAAAAGCAAAGTTTACAGAGGTCCCAAACTGATTACGATTTGCCCTCCACTTCCACCACAGGTGTCATAGAGATCAGGGATGAAATTGATATGCATCATCGTTCTCCTAAAGCCAGTCCAGGAAGAGATCAGGTTTTGAGATGTAGACCTGAAATGTTAAATTTGGATGAGAATGAGAATTCTGGGGCGAATACTATCCAGGGAAATGGTCATTGACATCCAGAAAATGGTCAAAATGTGGAATTCTGTCATTCAGTTAAATGTCAAGGGGAGAAGACAGGCCTGTGCAGTACCAAATTTCCAGCCCATTACTATTAGTGAGCAGAAGTGGGGATGAGGTTGGATTTACTTCTTAAAAGTGTATGAAATGCACATTTATCTCACCTGTTTTGCTTCTTTTTTTTTAATACTTGTGTTGAGGTCAATCATTCCACTCTATGAAACAATGCCCTGGCACCTGAAATGATAGGAGGCTGGGGATAAATATGCAATAAAAAACAGTGAGAAAATAAGAAAAAAATATGGTTTCAACTGGAAATAGAAATAAACCTCTTTATTTCTCGCGAACAGCCCGTCACTGGCCCTCCAAAAAGAAACCAGTTAACAATCAGTAAAAAAGTAAACCTTGAGTGTCACATAAGTCTAAGCCAATCTCAAAGGTAGATGCCATGTTTTGAGGTTCGGTCTAAATATTAAGGCCAACTGCATGTTTGGTCAAAAGTCACACAGGTGTGAATTTTGGAGTGTACATGTTAACATTTCATTGTATGATGTCAAAAACATGTTAGGTCTAAATGTTAAGGCCAACTGCAGACTTGGTTCAAGGTCACAACATGTAAATAGGGTTAGGGCACATGATTTTTTTACACAATTGTGGGTTTGGGCTAGGGTCAGAACTAGGTCTTGGCTTAGGCCTAGGCTACATGCTTCTTGACAAGATTGTGGGTTAGGGTTAGGGTAAGGACTGGGTCTTGGGTTAGGGTTAGGGTCAGCCTTGTTTACATCTCGTGACTTTAGACCAAATCTGGAGTTGAGTTGGCCTTAATATTTAGACCTAACCATGTTTTGATATCATTGTGAAGAAAATGTTACACATTTACAACCCAAAATTCACACTCAACCAACGGATACCCCCAATCATGGCTATTTTGATACCAAATAGTCAAAAAACTTACTGCTGGGCAATAAAAAAGCAGTATTCTTACTATTTCTGACACTTTCCATTCAAAATTTCAGGAAATAAGCCCTTGAAAAAATATCAACATCCCGAGTCGGCCATGTTTCTTTACCTCATCAGGACTCAGACTAGCAATTATTTGCCCATTGACTTCAATGTTAAATGGCTGTAACATCACAGGCTGTAGCTTTTTTCTCAACATTCCGTTGGTTCCAATCTTTATAGGCACAATGGGGACAACATTTGGCAATCTCCTCATCATAATTTTGTAGGGGGTTGACCATTTAGATTTTTTGCTACACGGATTTGAAGTTGACTGGGGTGAAAATCTCACTTCCGACACAATGACTGCTCTGCAGAAAGACACTTTACACCCCCTATCCCTCCGCTGTAATATCATCAGTATTACCCAAAACTGCTATGAAATTGCAAATTTGATCCCTTTTCTCCAATTCTAGACCAAAAAGTCAACCCAAAAATGCAGGAAGAGGGGAGAAAAAAATTAAGGGAAAAATTGTCTATTTATAACTCGCACTACATTCGTCCATCATGAAATAAGGGGAAATAATTACTAGTCTTAGTCCTATATACCTCACATGTTTCTGCAGTTTAAACAAATCTGTTGTTATCTAATAAACAAACATATATGCAATTCCCTGACCAAAGAATATGAAAATCTATGCATTTTCAGATGAGCTGTGCGGCATTCTGCAAACACTATAATGCATCAGAAAACTGCGGAATTTCAGACAGAAATTTAAAAGCACATGAATTTTGAATTAAACAGAACATTTTTATTTTTGAACATAAATGCATTCTGTAAAAAGATGAGATAAATTCAATATAAATCAAACACGAAAATACTTTAAAACAGTAATCATGATGCAATATTAGACTTTTTAACACTTTCATCGAAAACCACACAGTTTTTCTCTGTTAACGTAGTTTCAAGTGCCAAATTGTGGTCAAATCTAAAATGTTGAAACATGCAGTGCCTATGAATTTTAAAATATCTCCTATATAGCTGTATTTCCATAGGATAAGTAAGTTGAAATAATCTGATTATGTAACACTACAACAGCTTTTTCATCCCTACCCCCCAGTTTGGAATCTGATAATTTAAAAGCACATGAATTTTGAATTCCACAGAACATTTTTATTTTTGAACATAAATGCATTCTTCAAAAAGATGAGATGAATTCAATATAAATCAAACACGAAAATACTTTAAAACAGTAATCATGATGCAATATTAGACTTTTAACACTTTCATCGAAAACCACACAGTTTTTCTCTGTTAACATAGTTTTAAGTGCCAAATTGTGGTCAAATCTAAAATGTTGAAACATGCAGTGCCTATGAATTTCAAAATATCTCCTATATAGCTGTATTTCCACAGGATAAGTAAGTTGAAATAATCTGATTATGTAACACTACAACAGTTTTTTCATCCCCACCCCCCGGTATGGAATCTGATACATTGCTGACCAATCATAGGTCGCCCCGTTCACTCGAGCCTGTCAAATGATTTACAATGGCGATGGTGCCTACAACTTTCCTGACCAAGAGATATGCACAACCGTCGATCAACACACAAGCCATTAATGTTATCTTCCAATATGAGAGGCCATGATAAACACACAAGCGTCCTTTTCAAGCTCGGAAATTAAGTCATCACCAAAAAGCAAAGTTTACAGAGGTCCCAAACTGATTACGATTTGCCCTCCACTTCCACCACAGGTGTCATAGAGATCAGGGATGAAATTGATATGCATCATCGTTCTCCTAAAGCCAGTCCAGGAAGAGATCAGGTTTTGAGATGTAGACCTGAAATGTTAAATTTGGATGAGAATGAGAATTCTGGGGCGAATACTATCCAGGGAAATGGTCATTGACATCCAGAAAATGGTCAAAATGTGGAATTCTGTCATTCAGTTAAATGTCAAGGGGAGAAGACAGGCCTGTGCAGTACCAAATTTCCAGCCCATTACTATTAGTGAGCAGAAGTGGGGATGAGGTTGGATTTACTTCTTAAAAGTGTATGAAATGCACATTTATCTCACCTGTTTTGCTTCTTTTTTTTTAATACTTGTGTTGAGGTCAATCATTCCACTCTATGAAACAATGCCCTGGCACCTGAAATGATAGGAGGCTGGGGATAAATATGCAATAAAAAACAGTGAGAAAATAAGAAAAAAATATGGTTTCAACTGGAAATAGAAATAAACCTCTTTATTTCTCGCGAACAGCCCGTCACTGGCCCTCCAAAAAGAAACCAGTTAACAATCAGTAAAAAAGTAAACCTTGAGTGTCACATAAGTCTAAGCCAATCTCAAAGGTAGATGCCATGTTTTGAGGTTCGGTCTAAATATTAAGGCCAACTGCATGTTTGGTCAAAAGTCACACAGGTGTGAATTTTGGAGTGTACATGTTAACATTTCATTGTATGATGTCAAAAACATGTTAGGTCTAAATGTTAAGGCCAACTGCAGACTTGGTTCAAGGTCACAACATGTAAATAGGGTTAGGGCACATGATTTTTTTACACAATTGTGGGTTTGGGCTAGGGTCAGAACTAGGTCTTGGCTTAGGCCTAGGCTACATGCTTCTTGACAAGATTGTGGGTTAGGGTTAGGGTAAGGACTGGGTCTTGGGTTAGGGTTAGGGTCAGCCTTGTTTACATCTCGTGACTTTAGACCAAATCTGGAGTTGAGTTGGCCTTAATATTTAGACCTAACCATGTTTTGATATCATTGTGAAGAAAATGTTACACATTTACAACCCAAAATTCACACTCAACCAACGGATACCCCCAATCATGGCTATTTTGATACCAAATAGTCAAAAAACTTACTGCTGGGCAATAAAAAAGCAGTATTCTTACTATTTCTGACACTTTCCATTCAAAATTTCAGGAAATAAGCCCTTGAAAAAATATCAACATCCCGAGTCGGCCATGTTTCTTTACCTCATCAGGACTCAGACTAGCAATTATTTGCCCATTGACTTCAATGTTAAATGGCTGTAACATCACAGGCTGTAGCTTTTTTCTCAACATTCCGTTGGTTCCAATCTTTATAGGCACAATGGGGACAACATTTGGCAATCTCCTCATCATAATTTTGTAGGGGGTTGACCATTTAGATTTTTTGCTACACGGATTTGAAGTTGACTGGGGTGAAAATCTCACTTCCGACACAATGACTGCTCTGCAGAAAGACACTTTACACCCCCTATCCCTCCGCTGTAATATCATCAGTATTACCCAAAACTGCTATGAAATTGCAAATTTGATCCCTTTTCTCCAATTCTAGACCAAAAAGTCAACCCAAAAATGCAGGAAGAGGGGAGAAAAAAATTAAGGGAAAAATTGTCTATTTATAACTCGCACTACATTCGTCCATCATGAAATAAGGGGAAATAATTACTAGTCTTAGTCCATATATATATACCTCACATGTTTCTGCAGTTTAAACAAATCTGTTGTTATCTAATAAACAAACATATATGCAATTCCCTGACCAAAGAATATGAAAATCTATGCATTTTCAGATGAGCTGTGCGGCATTCTGCAAACACTATAATGCATCAGAAAACTGCGGAATTTCAGACAGAAATTTAAAAGCACATGAATTTTGAATTAAACAGAACATTTTTATTTTTGAACATAAATGCATTCTGTAAAAAGATGAGATAAATTCAATATAAATCAAACACGAAAATACTTTAAAACAGTAATCATGATGCAATATTAGACTTTTTAACACTTTCATCGAAAACCACACAGTTTTTCTCTGTTAACGTAGTTTCAAGTGCCAAATTGTGGTCAAATCTAAAATGTTGAAACATGCAGTGCCTATGAATTTTAAAATATCTCCTATATAGCTGTATTTCCATAGGATAAGTAAGTTGAAATAATCTGATTATGTAACACTACAACAGCTTTTTCATCCCTACCCCCCAGTTTGGAATCTGATAATTTAAAAGCACATGAATTTTGAATTCCACAGAACATTTTTATTTTTGAACATAAATGCATTCTTCAAAAAGATGAGATGAATTCAATATAAATCAAACACGAAAATACTTTAAAACAGTAATCATGATGCAATATTAGACTTTTAACACTTTCATCGAAAACCACACAGTTTTTCTCTGTTAACATAGTTTTAAGTGCCAAATTGTGGTCAAATCTAAAATGTTGAAACATGCAGTGCCTATGAATTTCAAAATATCTCCTATATAGCTGTATTTCCACAGGATAAGTAAGTTGAAATAATCTGATTATGTAACACTACAACAGTTTTTTCATCCCCACCCCCCGGTATGGAATCTGATACATTGCTGACCAATCATAGGTCGCCCCGTTCACTCGAGCCTGTCAAATGATTTACAATGGCGATGGTGCCTACAACTTTCCTGACCAAGAGATATGCACAACCGTCGATCAACACACAAGCCATTAATGTTATCTTCCAATATGAGAGGCCATGATAAACACACAAGCGTCCTTTTCAAGCTCGGAAATTAAGTCATCACCAAAAAGCAAAGTTTACAGAGGTCCCAAACTGATTACGATTTGCCCTCCACTTCCACCACAGGTGTCATAGAGATCAGGGATGAAATTGATATGCATCATCGTTCTCCTAAAGCCAGTCCAGGAAGAGATCAGGTTTTGAGATGTAGACCTGAAATGTTAAATTTGGATGAGAATGAGAATTCTGGGGCGAATACTATCCAGGGAAATGGTCATTGACATCCAGAAAATGGTCAAAATGTGGAATTCTGTCATTCAGTTAAATGTCAAGGGGAGAAGACAGGCCTGTGCAGTACCAAATTTCCAGCCCATTACTATTAGTGAGCAGAAGTGGGGATGAGGTTGGATTTACTTCTTAAAAGTGTATGAAATGCACATTTATCTCACCTGTTTTGCTTCTTTTTTTTTAATACTTGTGTTGAGGTCAATCATTCCACTCTATGAAACAATGCCCTGGCACCTGAAATGATAGGAGGCTGGGGATAAATATGCAATAAAAAACAGTGAGAAAATAAGAAAAAAATATGGTTTCAACTGGAAATAGAAATAAACCTCTTTATTTCTCGCGAACAGCCCGTCACTGGCCCTCCAAAAAGAAACCAGTTAACAATCAGTAAAAAAGTAAACCTTGAGTGTCACATAAGTCTAAGCCAATCTCAAAGGTAGATGCCATGTTTTGAGGTTCGGTCTAAATATTAAGGCCAACTGCATGTTTGGTCAAAAGTCACACAGGTGTGAATTTTGGAGTGTACATGTTAACATTTCATTGTATGATGTCAAAAACATGTTAGGTCTAAATGTTAAGGCCAACTGCAGACTTGGTTCAAGGTCACAACATGTAAATAGGGTTAGGGCACATGATTTTTTTACACAATTGTGGGTTTGGGCTAGGGTCAGAACTAGGTCTTGGCTTAGGCCTAGGCTACATGCTTCTTGACAAGATTGTGGGTTAGGGTTAGGGTAAGGACTGGGTCTTGGGTTAGGGTTAGGGTCAGCCTTGTTTACATCTCGTGACTTTAGACCAAATCTGGAGTTGAGTTGGCCTTAATATTTAGACCTAACCATGTTTTGATATCATTGTGAAGAAAATGTTACACATTTACAACCCAAAATTCACACTCAACCAACGGATACCCCCAATCATGGCTATTTTGATACCAAATAGTCAAAAAACTTACTGCTGGGCAATAAAAAAGCAGTATTCTTACTATTTCTGACACTTTCCATTCAAAATTTCAGGAAATAAGCCCTTGAAAAAATATCAACATCCCGAGTCGGCCATGTTTCTTTACCTCATCAGGACTCAGACTAGCAATTATTTGCCCATTGACTTCAATGTTAAATGGCTGTAACATCACAGGCTGTAGCTTTTTTCTCAACATTCCGTTGGTTCCAATCTTTATAGGCACAATGGGGACAACATTTGGCAATCTCCTCATCATAATTTTGTAGGGGGTTGACCATTTAGATTTTTTGCTACACGGATTTGAAGTTGACTGGGGTGAAAATCTCACTTCCGACACAATGACTGCTCTGCAGAAAGACACTTTACACCCCCTATCCCTCCGCTGTAATATCATCAGTATTACCCAAAACTGCTATGAAATTGCAAATTTGATCCCTTTTCTCCAATTCTAGACCAAAAAGTCAACCCAAAAATGCAGGAAGAGGGGAGAAAAAAATTAAGGGAAAAATTGTCTATTTATAACTCGCACTACATTCGTCCATCATGAAATAAGGGGAAATAATTACTAGTCTTAGTCCTATATACCTCACATGTTTCTGCAGTTTAAACAAATCTGTTGTTATCTAATAAACAAACATATATGCAATTCCCTGACCAAAGAATATGAAAATCTATGCATTTTCAGATGAGCTGTGCGGCATTCTGCAAACACTATAATGCATCAGAAAACTGCGGAATTTCAGACAGAAATTTAAAAGCACATGAATTTTGAATTAAACAGAACATTTTTATTTTTGAACATAAATGCATTCTGTAAAAAGATGAGATAAATTCAATATAAATCAAACACGAAAATACTTTAAAACAGTAATCATGATGCAATATTAGACTTTTTAACACTTTCATCGAAAACCACACAGTTTTTCTCTGTTAACGTAGTTTCAAGTGCCAAATTGTGGTCAAATCTAAAATGTTGAAACATGCAGTGCCTATGAATTTTAAAATATCTCCTATATAGCTGTATTTCCATAGGATAAGTAAGTTGAAATAATCTGATTATGTAACACTACAACAGCTTTTTCATCCCTACCCCCCAGTTTGGAATCTGATAATTTAAAAGCACATGAATTTTGAATTCCACAGAACATTTTTATTTTTGAACATAAATGCATTCTTCAAAAAGATGAGATGAATTCAATATAAATCAAACACGAAAATACTTTAAAACAGTAATCATGATGCAATATTAGACTTTTAACACTTTCATCGAAAACCACACAGTTTTTCTCTGTTAACATAGTTTTAAGTGCCAAATTGTGGTCAAATCTAAAATGTTGAAACATGCAGTGCCTATGAATTTCAAAATATCTCCTATATAGCTGTATTTCCACAGGATAAGTAAGTTGAAATAATCTGATTATGTAACACTACAACAGTTTTTTCATCCCCACCCCCCGGTATGGAATCTGATACATTGCTGACCAATCATAGGTCGCCCCGTTCACTCGAGCCTGTCAAATGATTTACAATGGCGATGGTGCCTACAACTTTCCTGACCAAGAGATATGCACAACCGTCGATCAACACACAAGCCATTAATGTTATCTTCCAATATGAGAGGCCATGATAAACACACAAGCGTCCTTTTCAAGCTCGGAAATTAAGTCATCACCAAAAAGCAAAGTTTACAGAGGTCCCAAACTGATTACGATTTGCCCTCCACTTCCACCACAGGTGTCATAGAGATCAGGGATGAAATTGATATGCATCATCGTTCTCCTAAAGCCAGTCCAGGAAGAGATCAGGTTTTGAGATGTAGACCTGAAATGTTAAATTTGGATGAGAATGAGAATTCTGGGGCGAATACTATCCAGGGAAATGGTCATTGACATCCAGAAAATGGTCAAAATGTGGAATTCTGTCATTCAGTTAAATGTCAAGGGGAGAAGACAGGCCTGTGCAGTACCAAATTTCCAGCCCATTACTATTAGTGAGCAGAAGTGGGGATGAGGTTGGATTTACTTCTTAAAAGTGTATGAAATGCACATTTATCTCACCTGTTTTGCTTCTTTTTTTTTAATACTTGTGTTGAGGTCAATCATTCCACTCTATGAAACAATGCCCTGGCACCTGAAATGATAGGAGGCTGGGGATAAATATGCAATAAAAAACAGTGAGAAAATAAGAAAAAAATATGGTTTCAACTGGAAATAGAAATAAACCTCTTTATTTCTCGCGAACAGCCCGTCACTGGCCCTCCAAAAAGAAACCAGTTAACAATCAGTAAAAAAGTAAACCTTGAGTGTCACATAAGTCTAAGCCAATCTCAAAGGTAGATGCCATGTTTTGAGGTTCGGTCTAAATATTAAGGCCAACTGCATGTTTGGTCAAAAGTCACACAGGTGTGAATTTTGGAGTGTACATGTTAACATTTCATTGTATGATGTCAAAAACATGTTAGGTCTAAATGTTAAGGCCAACTGCAGACTTGGTTCAAGGTCACAACATGTAAATAGGGTTAGGGCACATGATTTTTTTACACAATTGTGGGTTTGGGCTAGGGTCAGAACTAGGTCTTGGCTTAGGCCTAGGCTACATGCTTCTTGACAAGATTGTGGGTTAGGGTTAGGGTAAGGACTGGGTCTTGGGTTAGGGTTAGGGTCAGCCTTGTTTACATCTCGTGACTTTAGACCAAATCTGGAGTTGAGTTGGCCTTAATATTTAGACCTAACCATGTTTTGATATCATTGTGAAGAAAATGTTACACATTTACAACCCAAAATTCACACTCAACCAACGGATACCCCCAATCATGGCTATTTTGATACCAAATAGTCAAAAAACTTACTGCTGGGCAATAAAAAAGCAGTATTCTTACTATTTCTGACACTTTCCATTCAAAATTTCAGGAAATAAGCCCTTGAAAAAATATCAACATCCCGAGTCGGCCATGTTTCTTTACCTCATCAGGACTCAGACTAGCAATTATTTGCCCATTGACTTCAATGTTAAATGGCTGTAACATCACAGGCTGTAGCTTTTTTCTCAACATTCCGTTGGTTCCAATCTTTATAGGCACAATGGGGACAACATTTGGCAATCTCCTCATCATAATTTTGTAGGGGGTTGACCATTTAGATTTTTTGCTACACGGATTTGAAGTTGACTGGGGTGAAAATCTCACTTCCGACACAATGACTGCTCTGCAGAAAGACACTTTACACCCCCTATCCCTCCGCTGTAATATCATCAGTATTACCCAAAACTGCTATGAAATTGCAAATTTGATCCCTTTTCTCCAATTCTAGACCAAAAAGTCAACCCAAAAATGCAGGAAGAGGGGAGAAAAAAATTAAGGGAAAAATTGTCTATTTATAACTCGCACTACATTCGTCCATCATGAAATAAGGGGAAATAATTACTAGTCTTAGTCCTATATACCTCACATGTTTCTGCAGTTTAAACAAATCTGTTGTTATCTAATAAACAAACATATATGCAATTCCCTGACCAAAGAATATGAAAATCTATGCATTTTCAGATGAGCTGTGCGGCATTCTGCAAACACTATAATGCATCAGAAAACTGCGGAATTTCAGACAGAAATTTAAAAGCACATGAATTTTGAATTAAACAGAACATTTTTATTTTTGAACATAAATGCATTCTGTAAAAAGATGAGATAAATTCAATATAAATCAAACACGAAAATACTTTAAAACAGTAATCATGATGCAATATTAGACTTTTTAACACTTTCATCGAAAACCACACAGTTTTTCTCTGTTAACGTAGTTTCAAGTGCCAAATTGTGGTCAAATCTAAAATGTTGAAACATGCAGTGCCTATGAATTTTAAAATATCTCCTATATAGCTGTATTTCCATAGGATAAGTAAGTTGAAATAATCTGATTATGTAACACTACAACAGCTTTTTCATCCCTACCCCCCAGTTTGGAATCTGATAATTTAAAAGCACATGAATTTTGAATTCCACAGAACATTTTTATTTTTGAACATAAATGCATTCTTCAAAAAGATGAGATGAATTCAATATAAATCAAACACGAAAATACTTTAAAACAGTAATCATGATGCAATATTAGACTTTTAACACTTTCATCGAAAACCACACAGTTTTTCTCTGTTAACATAGTTTTAAGTGCCAAATTGTGGTCAAATCTAAAATGTTGAAACATGCAGTGCCTATGAATTTCAAAATATCTCCTATATAGCTGTATTTCCACAGGATAAGTAAGTTGAAATAATCTGATTATGTAACACTACAACAGTTTTTTCATCCCCACCCCCCGGTATGGAATCTGATACATTGCTGACCAATCATAGGTCGCCCCGTTCACTCGAGCCTGTCAAATGATTTACAATGGCGATGGTGCCTACAACTTTCCTGACCAAGAGATATGCACAACCGTCGATCAACACACAAGCCATTAATGTTATCTTCCAATATGAGAGGCCATGATAAACACACAAGCGTCCTTTTCAAGCTCGGAAATTAAGTCATCACCAAAAAGCAAAGTTTACAGAGGTCCCAAACTGATTACGATTTGCCCTCCACTTCCACCACAGGTGTCATAGAGATCAGGGATGAAATTGATATGCATCATCGTTCTCCTAAAGCCAGTCCAGGAAGAGATCAGGTTTTGAGATGTAGACCTGAAATGTTAAATTTGGATGAGAATGAGAATTCTGGGGCGAATACTATCCAGGGAAATGGTCATTGACATCCAGAAAATGGTCAAAATGTGGAATTCTGTCATTCAGTTAAATGTCAAGGGGAGAAGACAGGCCTGTGCAGTACCAAATTTCCAGCCCATTACTATTAGTGAGCAGAAGTGGGGATGAGGTTGGATTTACTTCTTAAAAGTGTATGAAATGCACATTTATCTCACCTGTTTTGCTTCTTTTTTTTTAATACTTGTGTTGAGGTCAATCATTCCACTCTATGAAACAATGCCCTGGCACCTGAAATGATAGGAGGCTGGGGATAAATATGCAATAAAAAACAGTGAGAAAATAAGAAAAAAATATGGTTTCAACTGGAAATAGAAATAAACCTCTTTATTTCTCGCGAACAGCCCGTCACTGGCCCTCCAAAAAGAAACCAGTTAACAATCAGTAAAAAAGTAAACCTTGAGTGTCACATAAGTCTAAGCCAATCTCAAAGGTAGATGCCATGTTTTGAGGTTCGGTCTAAATATTAAGGCCAACTGCATGTTTGGTCAAAAGTCACACAGGTGTGAATTTTGGAGTGTACATGTTAACATTTCATTGTATGATGTCAAAAACATGTTAGGTCTAAATGTTAAGGCCAACTGCAGACTTGGTTCAAGGTCACAACATGTAAATAGGGTTAGGGCACATGATTTTTTTACACAATTGTGGGTTTGGGCTAGGGTCAGAACTAGGTCTTGGCTTAGGCCTAGGCTACATGCTTCTTGACAAGATTGTGGGTTAGGGTTAGGGTAAGGACTGGGTCTTGGGTTAGGGTTAGGGTCAGCCTTGTTTACATCTCGTGACTTTAGACCAAATCTGGAGTTGAGTTGGCCTTAATATTTAGACCTAACCATGTTTTGATATCATTGTGAAGAAAATGTTACACATTTACAACCCAAAATTCACACTCAACCAACGGATACCCCCAATCATGGCTATTTTGATACCAAATAGTCAAAAAACTTACTGCTGGGCAATAAAAAAGCAGTATTCTTACTATTTCTGACACTTTCCATTCAAAATTTCAGGAAATAAGCCCTTGAAAAAATATCAACATCCCGAGTCGGCCATGTTTCTTTACCTCTATATACCTCACATGTTTCTGCAGTTTAAACAAATCTGTTGTTATCTAATAAACAAACATATATGCAATTCCCTGACCAAAGAATATGAAAATCTATGCATTTTCAGATGAGCTGTGCGGCATTCTGCAAACACTATAATGCATCAGAAAACTGCGGAATTTCAGACAGAAATTTAAAAGCACATGAATTTTGAATTAAACAGAACATTTTTATTTTTGAACATAAATGCATTCTGTAAAAAGATGAGATAAATTCAATATAAATCAAACACGAAAATACTTTAAAACAGTAATCATGATGCAATATTAGACTTTTTAACACTTTCATCGAAAACCACACAGTTTTTCTCTGTTAACGTAGTTTCAAGTGCCAAATTGTGGTCAAATCTAAAATGTTGAAACATGCAGTGCCTATGAATTTTAAAATATCTCCTATATAGCTGTATTTCCATAGGATAAGTAAGTTGAAATAATCTGATTATGTAACACTACAACAGCTTTTTCATCCCTACCCCCCAGTTTGGAATCTGATAATTTAAAAGCACATGAATTTTGAATTCCACAGAACATTTTTATTTTTGAACATAAATGCATTCTTCAAAAAGATGAGATGAATTCAATATAAATCAAACACGAAAATACTTTAAAACAGTAATCATGATGCAATATTAGACTTTTAACACTTTCATCGAAAACCACACAGTTTTTCTCTGTTAACATAGTTTTAAGTGCCAAATTGTGGTCAAATCTAAAATGTTGAAACATGCAGTGCCTATGAATTTCAAAATATCTCCTATATAGCTGTATTTCCACAGGATAAGTAAGTTGAAATAATCTGATTATGTAACACTACAACAGTTTTTTCATCCCCACCCCCCGGTATGGAATCTGATACATTGCTGACCAATCATAGGTCGCCCCGTTCACTCGAGCCTGTCAAATGATTTACAATGGCGATGGTGCCTACAACTTTCCTGACCAAGAGATATGCACAACCGTCGATCAACACACAAGCCATTAATGTTATCTTCCAATATGAGAGGCCATGATAAACACACAAGCGTCCTTTTCAAGCTCGGAAATTAAGTCATCACCAAAAAGCAAAGTTTACAGAGGTCCCAAACTGATTACGATTTGCCCTCCACTTCCACCACAGGTGTCATAGAGATCAGGGATGAAATTGATATGCATCATCGTTCTCCTAAAGCCAGTCCAGGAAGAGATCAGGTTTTGAGATGTAGACCTGAAATGTTAAATTTGGATGAGAATGAGAATTCTGGGGCGAATACTATCCAGGGAAATGGTCATTGACATCCAGAAAATGGTCAAAATGTGGAATTCTGTCATTCAGTTAAATGTCAAGGGGAGAAGACAGGCCTGTGCAGTACCAAATTTCCAGCCCATTACTATTAGTGAGCAGAAGTGGGGATGAGGTTGGATTTACTTCTTAAAAGTGTATGAAATGCACATTTATCTCACCTGTTTTGCTTCTTTTTTTTTAATACTTGTGTTGAGGTCAATCATTCCACTCTATGAAACAATGCCCTGGCACCTGAAATGATAGGAGGCTGGGGATAAATATGCAATAAAAAACAGTGAGAAAATAAGAAAAAAATATGGTTTCAACTGGAAATAGAAATAAACCTCTTTATTTCTCGCGAACAGCCCGTCACTGGCCCTCCAAAAAGAAACCAGTTAACAATCAGTAAAAAAGTAAACCTTGAGTGTCACATAAGTCTAAGCCAATCTCAAAGGTAGATGCCATGTTTTGAGGTTCGGTCTAAATATTAAGGCCAACTGCATGTTTGGTCAAAAGTCACACAGGTGTGAATTTTGGAGTGTACATGTTAACATTTCATTGTATGATGTCAAAAACATGTTAGGTCTAAATGTTAAGGCCAACTGCAGACTTGGTTCAAGGTCACAACATGTAAATAGGGTTAGGGCACATGATTTTTTTACACAATTGTGGGTTTGGGCTAGGGTCAGAACTAGGTCTTGGCTTAGGCCTAGGCTACATGCTTCTTGACAAGATTGTGGGTTAGGGTTAGGGTAAGGACTGGGTCTTGGGTTAGGGTTAGGGTCAGCCTTGTTTACATCTCGTGACTTTAGACCAAATCTGGAGTTGAGTTGGCCTTAATATTTAGACCTAACCATGTTTTGATATCATTGTGAAGAAAATGTTACACATTTACAACCCAAAATTCACACTCAACCAACGGATACCCCCAATCATGGCTATTTTGATACCAAATAGTCAAAAAACTTACTGCTGGGCAATAAAAAAGCAGTATTCTTACTATTTCTGACACTTTCCATTCAAAATTTCAGGAAATAAGCCCTTGAAAAAATATCAACATCCCGAGTCGGCCATGTTTCTTTACCTCATCAGGACTCAGACTAGCAATTATTTGCCCATTGACTTCAATGTTAAATGGCTGTAACATCACAGGCTGTAGCTTTTTTCTCAACATTCCGTTGGTTCCAATCTTTATAGGCACAATGGGGACAACATTTGGCAATCTCCTCATCATAATTTTGTAGGGGGTTGACCATTTAGATTTTTTGCTACACGGATTTGAAGTTGACTGGGGTGAAAATCTCACTTCCGACACAATGACTGCTCTGCAGAAAGACACTTTACACCCCCTATCCCTCCGCTGTAATATCATCAGTATTACCCAAAACTGCTATGAAATTGCAAATTTGATCCCTTTTCTCCAATTCTAGACCAAAAAGTCAACCCAAAAATGCAGGAAGAGGGGAGAAAAAAATTAAGGGAAAAATTGTCTATTTATAACTCGCACTACATTCGTCCATCATGAAATAAGGGGAAATAATTACTAGTCTTAGTCCTATATACCTCACATGTTTCTGCAGTTTAAACAAATCTGTTGTTATCTAATAAACAAACATATATGCAATTCCCTGACCAAAGAATATGAAAATCTATGCATTTTCAGATGAGCTGTGCGGCATTCTGCAAACACTATAATGCATCAGAAAACTGCGGAATTTCAGACAGAAATTTAAAAGCACATGAATTTTGAATTAAACAGAACATTTTTATTTTTGAACATAAATGCATTCTGTAAAAAGATGAGATAAATTCAATATAAATCAAACACGAAAATACTTTAAAACAGTAATCATGATGCAATATTAGACTTTTTAACACTTTCATCGAAAACCACACAGTTTTTCTCTGTTAACGTAGTTTCAAGTGCCAAATTGTGGTCAAATCTAAAATGTTGAAACATGCAGTGCCTATGAATTTTAAAATATCTCCTATATAGCTGTATTTCCATAGGATAAGTAAGTTGAAATAATCTGATTATGTAACACTACAACAGCTTTTTCATCCCTACCCCCCAGTTTGGAATCTGATAATTTAAAAGCACATGAATTTTGAATTCCACAGAACATTTTTATTTTTGAACATAAATGCATTCTTCAAAAAGATGAGATGAATTCAATATAAATCAAACACGAAAATACTTTAAAACAGTAATCATGATGCAATATTAGACTTTTAACACTTTCATCGAAAACCACACAGTTTTTCTCTGTTAACATAGTTTTAAGTGCCAAATTGTGGTCAAATCTAAAATGTTGAAACATGCAGTGCCTATGAATTTCAAAATATCTCCTATATAGCTGTATTTCCACAGGATAAGTAAGTTGAAATAATCTGATTATGTAACACTACAACAGTTTTTTCATCCCCACCCCCCGGTATGGAATCTGATACATTGCTGACCAATCATAGGTCGCCCCGTTCACTCGAGCCTGTCAAATGATTTACAATGGCGATGGTGCCTACAACTTTCCTGACCAAGAGATATGCACAACCGTCGATCAACACACAAGCCATTAATGTTATCTTCCAATATGAGAGGCCATGATAAACACACAAGCGTCCTTTTCAAGCTCGGAAATTAAGTCATCACCAAAAAGCAAAGTTTACAGAGGTCCCAAACTGATTACGATTTGCCCTCCACTTCCACCACAGGTGTCATAGAGATCAGGGATGAAATTGATATGCATCATCGTTCTCCTAAAGCCAGTCCAGGAAGAGATCAGGTTTTGAGATGTAGACCTGAAATGTTAAATTTGGATGAGAATGAGAATTCTGGGGCGAATACTATCCAGGGAAATGGTCATTGACATCCAGAAAATGGTCAAAATGTGGAATTCTGTCATTCAGTTAAATGTCAAGGGGAGAAGACAGGCCTGTGCAGTACCAAATTTCCAGCCCATTACTATTAGTGAGCAGAAGTGGGGATGAGGTTGGATTTACTTCTTAAAAGTGTATGAAATGCACATTTATCTCACCTGTTTTGCTTCTTTTTTTTTAATACTTGTGTTGAGGTCAATCATTCCACTCTATGAAACAATGCCCTGGCACCTGAAATGATAGGAGGCTGGGGATAAATATGCAATAAAAAACAGTGAGAAAATAAGAAAAAAATATGGTTTCAACTGGAAATAGAAATAAACCTCTTTATTTCTCGCGAACAGCCCGTCACTGGCCCTCCAAAAAGAAACCAGTTAACAATCAGTAAAAAAGTAAACCTTGAGTGTCACATAAGTCTAAGCCAATCTCAAAGGTAGATGCCATGTTTTGAGGTTCGGTCTAAATATTAAGGCCAACTGCATGTTTGGTCAAAAGTCACACAGGTGTGAATTTTGGAGTGTACATGTTAACATTTCATTGTATGATGTCAAAAACATGTTAGGTCTAAATGTTAAGGCCAACTGCAGACTTGGTTCAAGGTCACAACATGTAAATAGGGTTAGGGCACATGATTTTTTTACACAATTGTGGGTTTGGGCTAGGGTCAGAACTAGGTCTTGGCTTAGGCCTAGGCTACATGCTTCTTGACAAGATTGTGGGTTAGGGTTAGGGTAAGGACTGGGTCTTGGGTTAGGGTTAGGGTCAGCCTTGTTTACATCTCGTGACTTTAGACCAAATCTGGAGTTGAGTTGGCCTTAATATTTAGACCTAACCATGTTTTGATATCATTGTGAAGAAAATGTTACACATTTACAACCCAAAATTCACACTCAACCAACGGATACCCCCAATCATGGCTATTTTGATACCAAATAGTCAAAAAACTTACTGCTGGGCAATAAAAAAGCAGTATTCTTACTATTTCTGACACTTTCCATTCAAAATTTCAGGAAATAAGCCCTTGAAAAAATATCAACATCCCGAGTCGGCCATGTTTCTTTACCTCATATATACCTCACATGTTTCTGCAGTTTAAACAAATCTGTTGTTATCTAATAAACAAACATATATGCAATTCCCTGACCAAAGAATATGAAAATCTATGCATTTTCAGATGAGCTGTGCGGCATTCTGCAAACACTATAATGCATCAGAAAACTGCGGAATTTCAGACAGAAATTTAAAAGCACATGAATTTTGAATTAAACAGAACATTTTTATTTTTGAACATAAATGCATTCTGTAAAAAGATGAGATAAATTCAATATAAATCAAACACGAAAATACTTTAAAACAGTAATCATGATGCAATATTAGACTTTTTAACACTTTCATCGAAAACCACACAGTTTTTCTCTGTTAACGTAGTTTCAAGTGCCAAATTGTGGTCAAATCTAAAATGTTGAAACATGCAGTGCCTATGAATTTTAAAATATCTCCTATATAGCTGTATTTCCATAGGATAAGTAAGTTGAAATAATCTGATTATGTAACACTACAACAGCTTTTTCATCCCTACCCCCCAGTTTGGAATCTGATAATTTAAAAGCACATGAATTTTGAATTCCACAGAACATTTTTATTTTTGAACATAAATGCATTCTTCAAAAAGATGAGATGAATTCAATATAAATCAAACACGAAAATACTTTAAAACAGTAATCATGATGCAATATTAGACTTTTAACACTTTCATCGAAAACCACACAGTTTTTCTCTGTTAACATAGTTTTAAGTGCCAAATTGTGGTCAAATCTAAAATGTTGAAACATGCAGTGCCTATGAATTTCAAAATATCTCCTATATAGCTGTATTTCCACAGGATAAGTAAGTTGAAATAATCTGATTATGTAACACTACAACAGTTTTTTCATCCCCACCCCCCGGTATGGAATCTGATACATTGCTGACCAATCATAGGTCGCCCCGTTCACTCGAGCCTGTCAAATGATTTACAATGGCGATGGTGCCTACAACTTTCCTGACCAAGAGATATGCACAACCGTCGATCAACACACAAGCCATTAATGTTATCTTCCAATATGAGAGGCCATGATAAACACACAAGCGTCCTTTTCAAGCTCGGAAATTAAGTCATCACCAAAAAGCAAAGTTTACAGAGGTCCCAAACTGATTACGATTTGCCCTCCACTTCCACCACAGGTGTCATAGAGATCAGGGATGAAATTGATATGCATCATCGTTCTCCTAAAGCCAGTCCAGGAAGAGATCAGGTTTTGAGATGTAGACCTGAAATGTTAAATTTGGATGAGAATGAGAATTCTGGGGCGAATACTATCCAGGGAAATGGTCATTGACATCCAGAAAATGGTCAAAATGTGGAATTCTGTCATTCAGTTAAATGTCAAGGGGAGAAGACAGGCCTGTGCAGTACCAAATTTCCAGCCCATTACTATTAGTGAGCAGAAGTGGGGATGAGGTTGGATTTACTTCTTAAAAGTGTATGAAATGCACATTTATCTCACCTGTTTTGCTTCTTTTTTTTTAATACTTGTGTTGAGGTCAATCATTCCACTCTATGAAACAATGCCCTGGCACCTGAAATGATAGGAGGCTGGGGATAAATATGCAATAAAAAACAGTGAGAAAATAAGAAAAAAATATGGTTTCAACTGGAAATAGAAATAAACCTCTTTATTTCTCGCGAACAGCCCGTCACTGGCCCTCCAAAAAGAAACCAGTTAACAATCAGTAAAAAAGTAAACCTTGAGTGTCACATAAGTCTAAGCCAATCTCAAAGGTAGATGCCATGTTTTGAGGTTCGGTCTAAATATTAAGGCCAACTGCATGTTTGGTCAAAAGTCACACAGGTGTGAATTTTGGAGTGTACATGTTAACATTTCATTGTATGATGTCAAAAACATGTTAGGTCTAAATGTTAAGGCCAACTGCAGACTTGGTTCAAGGTCACAACATGTAAATAGGGTTAGGGCACATGATTTTTTTACACAATTGTGGGTTTGGGCTAGGGTCAGAACTAGGTCTTGGCTTAGGCCTAGGCTACATGCTTCTTGACAAGATTGTGGGTTAGGGTTAGGGTAAGGACTGGGTCTTGGGTTAGGGTTAGGGTCAGCCTTGTTTACATCTCGTGACTTTAGACCAAATCTGGAGTTGAGTTGGCCTTAATATTTAGACCTAACCATGTTTTGATATCATTGTGAAGAAAATGTTACACATTTACAACCCAAAATTCACACTCAACCAACGGATACCCCCAATCATGGCTATTTTGATACCAAATAGTCAAAAAACTTACTGCTGGGCAATAAAAAAGCAGTATTCTTACTATTTCTGACACTTTCCATTCAAAATTTCAGGAAATAAGCCCTTGAAAAAATATCAACATCCCGAGTCGGCCATGTTTCTTTACCTCATCAGGACTCAGACTAGCAATTATTTGCCCATTGACTTCAATGTTAAATGGCTGTAACATCACAGGCTGTAGCTTTTTTCTCAACATTCCGTTGGTTCCAATCTTTATAGGCACAATGGGGACAACATTTGGCAATCTCCTCATCATAATTTTGTAGGGGGTTGACCATTTAGATTTTTTGCTACACGGATTTGAAGTTGACTGGGGTGAAAATCTCACTTCCGACACAATGACTGCTCTGCAGAAAGACACTTTACACCCCCTATCCCTCCGCTGTAATATCATCAGTATTACCCAAAACTGCTATGAAATTGCAAATTTGATCCCTTTTCTCCAATTCTAGATCAAAAAGTCAACCCAAAAATGCAGGAAGAGGGGAGAAAAAAATTAAGGGAAAAATTGTCTATTTATAACTCGCACTACATTCGTCCATCATGAAATAAGGGGAAATAATTACTAGTCTTAGTCCATATATATATACCTCACATGTTTCTGCAGTTAAAACAAATCTGTTGTTATCTAATAAACAAACATATATGCAATTCCCTGACCAAAGAATATGAAAATCTATGCATTTTCAGATGAGCTGTGCGGCATTCTGCAAACACTATAATGCATCAGAAAACTGCGGAATTTCAGACAGAAATTTAAAAGCACATGAATTTTGAATTAAACAGAACATTTTTATTTTTGAACATAAATGCATTCTGTAAAAAGATGAGATAAATTCAATATAAATCAAACACGAAAATACTTTAAAACAGTAATCATGATGCAATATTAGACTTTTTAACACTTTCATCGAAAACCACACAGTTTTTCTCTGTTAACGTAGTTTCAAGTGCCAAATTGTGGTCAAATCTAAAATGTTGAAACATGCAGTGCCTATGAATTTTAAAATATCTCCTATATAGCTGTATTTCCATAGGATAAGTAAGTTGAAATAATCTGATTATGTAACACTACAACAGCTTTTTCATCCCTACCCCCCAGTTTGGAATCTGATAATTTAAAAGCACATGAATTTTGAATTCCACAGAACATTTTTATTTTTGAACATAAATGCATTCTTCAAAAAGATGAGATGAATTCAATATAAATCAAACACGAAAATACTTTAAAACAGTAATCATGATGCAATATTAGACTTTTAACACTTTCATCGAAAACCACACAGTTTTTCTCTGTTAACATAGTTTTAAGTGCCAAATTGTGGTCAAATCTAAAATGTTGAAACATGCAGTGCCTATGAATTTCAAAATATCTCCTATATAGCTGTATTTCCACAGGATAAGTAAGTTGAAATAATCTGATTATGTAACACTACAACAGTTTTTTCATCCCCACCCCCCGGTATGGAATCTGATACATTGCTGACCAATCATAGGTCGCCCCGTTCACTCGAGCCTGTCAAATGATTTACAATGGCGATGGTGCCTACAACTTTCCTGACCAAGAGATATGCACAACCGTCGATCAACACACAAGCCATTAATGTTATCTTCCAATATGAGAGGCCATGATAAACACACAAGCGTCCTTTTCAAGCTCGGAAATTAAGTCATCACCAAAAAGCAAAGTTTACAGAGGTCCCAAACTGATTACGATTTGCCCTCCACTTCCACCACAGGTGTCATAGAGATCAGGGATGAAATTGATATGCATCATCGTTCTCCTAAAGCCAGTCCAGGAAGAGATCAGGTTTTGAGATGTAGACCTGAAATGTTAAATTTGGATGAGAATGAGAATTCTGGGGCGAATACTATCCAGGGAAATGGTCATTGACATCCAGAAAATGGTCAAAATGTGGAATTCTGTCATTCAGTTAAATGTCAAGGGGAGAAGACAGGCCTGTGCAGTACCAAATTTCCAGCCCATTACTATTAGTGAGCAGAAGTGGGGATGAGGTTGGATTTACTTCTTAAAAGTGTATGAAATGCACATTTATCTCACCTGTTTTGCTTCTTTTTTTTTAATACTTGTGTTGAGGTCAATCATTCCACTCTATGAAACAATGCCCTGGCACCTGAAATGATAGGAGGCTGGGGATAAATATGCAATAAAAAACAGTGAGAAAATAAGAAAAAAATATGGTTTCAACTGGAAATAGAAATAAACCTCTTTATTTCTCGCGAACAGCCCGTCACTGGCCCTCCAAAAAGAAACCAGTTAACAATCAGTAAAAAAGTAAACCTTGAGTGTCACATAAGTCTAAGCCAATCTCAAAGGTAGATGCCATGTTTTGAGGTTCGGTCTAAATATTAAGGCCAACTGCATGTTTGGTCAAAAGTCACACAGGTGTGAATTTTGGAGTGTACATGTTAACATTTCATTGTATGATGTCAAAAACATGTTAGGTCTAAATGTTAAGGCCAACTGCAGACTTGGTTCAAGGTCACAACATGTAAATAGGGTTAGGGCACATGATTTTTTTACACAATTGTGGGTTTGGGCTAGGGTCAGAACTAGGTCTTGGCTTAGGCCTAGGCTACATGCTTCTTGACAAGATTGTGGGTTAGGGTTAGGGTAAGGACTGGGTCTTGGGTTAGGGTTAGGGTCAGCCTTGTTTACATCTCGTGACTTTAGACCAAATCTGGAGTTGAGTTGGCCTTAATATTTAGACCTAACCATGTTTTGATATCATTGTGAAGAAAATGTTACACATTTACAACCCAAAATTCACACTCAACCAACGGATACCCCCAATCATGGCTATTTTGATACCAAATAGTCAAAAAACTTACTGCTGGGCAATAAAAAAGCAGTATTCTTACTATTTCTGACACTTTCCATTCAAAATTTCAGGAAATAAGCCCTTGAAAAAATATCAACATCCCGAGTCGGCCATGTTTCTTTACCTCATCAGGACTCAGACTAGCAATTATTTGCCCATTGACTTCAATGTTAAATGGCTGTAACATCACAGGCTGTAGCTTTTTTCTCAACATTCCGTTGGTTCCAATCTTTATAGGCACAATGGGGACAACATTTGGCAATCTCCTCATCATAATTTTGTAGGGGGTTGACCATTTAGATTTTTTGCTACACGGATTTGAAGTTGACTGGGGTGAAAATCTCACTTCCGACACAATGACTGCTCTGCAGAAAGACACTTTACACCCCCTATCCCTCCGCTGTAATATCATCAGTATTACCCAAAACTGCTATGAAATTGCAAATTTGATCCCTTTTCTCCAATTCTAGACCAAAAAGTCAACCCAAAAATGCAGGAAGAGGGGAGAAAAAAATTAAGGGAAAAATTGTCTATTTATAACTCGCACTACATTCGTCCATCATGAAATAAGGGGAAATAATTACTAGTCTTAGTCCATATATATATACCTCACATGTTTCTGCAGTTTAAACAAATCTGTTGTTATCTAATAAACAAACATATATGCAATTCCCTGACCAAAGAATATGAAAATCTATGCATTTTCAGATGAGCTGTGCGGCATTCTGCAAACACTATAATGCATCAGAAAACTGCGGAATTTCAGACAGAAATTTAAAAGCACATGAATTTTGAATTAAACAGAACATTTTTATTTTTGAACATAAATGCATTCTGTAAAAAGATGAGATAAATTCAATATAAATCAAACACGAAAATACTTTAAAACAGTAATCATGATGCAATATTAGACTTTTTAACACTTTCATCGAAAACCACACAGTTTTTCTCTGTTAACGTAGTTTCAAGTGCCAAATTGTGGTCAAATCTAAAATGTTGAAACATGCAGTGCCTATGAATTTTAAAATATCTCCTATATAGCTGTATTTCCATAGGATAAGTAAGTTGAAATAATCTGATTATGTAACACTACAACAGCTTTTTCATCCCTACCCCCCAGTTTGGAATCTGATAATTTAAAAGCACATGAATTTTGAATTCCACAGAACATTTTTATTTTTGAACATAAATGCATTCTTCAAAAAGATGAGATGAATTCAATATAAATCAAACACGAAAATACTTTAAAACAGTAATCATGATGCAATATTAGACTTTTAACACTTTCATCGAAAACCACACAGTTTTTCTCTGTTAACATAGTTTTAAGTGCCAAATTGTGGTCAAATCTAAAATGTTGAAACATGCAGTGCCTATGAATTTCAAAATATCTCCTATATAGCTGTATTTCCACAGGATAAGTAAGTTGAAATAATCTGATTATGTAACACTACAACAGTTTTTTCATCCCCACCCCCCGGTATGGAATCTGATACATTGCTGACCAATCATAGGTCGCCCCGTTCACTCGAGCCTGTCAAATGATTTACAATGGCGATGGTGCCTACAACTTTCCTGACCAAGAGATATGCACAACCGTCGATCAACACACAAGCCATTAATGTTATCTTCCAATATGAGAGGCCATGATAAACACACAAGCGTCCTTTTCAAGCTCGGAAATTAAGTCATCACCAAAAAGCAAAGTTTACAGAGGTCCCAAACTGATTACGATTTGCCCTCCACTTCCACCACAGGTGTCATAGAGATCAGGGATGAAATTGATATGCATCATCGTTCTCCTAAAGCCAGTCCAGGAAGAGATCAGGTTTTGAGATGTAGACCTGAAATGTTAAATTTGGATGAGAATGAGAATTCTGGGGCGAATACTATCCAGGGAAATGGTCATTGACATCCAGAAAATGGTCAAAATGTGGAATTCTGTCATTCAGTTAAATGTCAAGGGGAGAAGACAGGCCTGTGCAGTACCAAATTTCCAGCCCATTACTATTAGTGAGCAGAAGTGGGGATGAGGTTGGATTTACTTCTTAAAAGTGTATGAAATGCACATTTATCTCACCTGTTTTGCTTCTTTTTTTTTAATACTTGTGTTGAGGTCAATCATTCCACTCTATGAAACAATGCCCTGGCACCTGAAATGATAGGAGGCTGGGGATAAATATGCAATAAAAAACAGTGAGAAAATAAGAAAAAAATATGGTTTCAACTGGAAATAGAAATAAACCTCTTTATTTCTCGCGAACAGCCCGTCACTGGCCCTCCAAAAAGAAACCAGTTAACAATCAGTAAAAAAGTAAACCTTGAGTGTCACATAAGTCTAAGCCAATCTCAAAGGTAGATGCCATGTTTTGAGGTTCGGTCTAAATATTAAGGCCAACTGCATGTTTGGTCAAAAGTCACACAGGTGTGAATTTTGGAGTGTACATGTTAACATTTCATTGTATGATGTCAAAAACATGTTAGGTCTAAATGTTAAGGCCAACTGCAGACTTGGTTCAAGGTCACAACATGTAAATAGGGTTAGGGCACATGATTTTTTTACACAATTGTGGGTTTGGGCTAGGGTCAGAACTAGGTCTTGGCTTAGGCCTAGGCTACATGCTTCTTGACAAGATTGTGGGTTAGGGTTAGGGTAAGGACTGGGTCTTGGGTTAGGGTTAGGGTCAGCCTTGTTTACATCTCGTGACTTTAGACCAAATCTGGAGTTGAGTTGGCCTTAATATTTAGACCTAACCATGTTTTGATATCATTGTGAAGAAAATGTTACACATTTACAACCCAAAATTCACACTCAACCAACGGATACCCCCAATCATGGCTATTTTGATACCAAATAGTCAAAAAACTTACTGCTGGGCAATAAAAAAGCAGTATTCTTACTATTTCTGACACTTTCCATTCAAAATTTCAGGAAATAAGCCCTTGAAAAAATATCAACATCCCGAGTCGGCCATGTTTCTTTACCTCATCAGGACTCAGACTAGCAATTATTTGCCCATTGACTTCAATGTTAAATGGCTGTAACATCACAGGCTGTAGCTTTTTTCTCAACATTCCGTTGGTTCCAATCTTTATAGGCACAATGGGGACAACATTTGGCAATCTCCTCATCATAATTTTGTAGGGGGTTGACCATTTAGATTTTTTGCTACACGGATTTGAAGTTGACTGGGGTGAAAATCTCACTTCCGACACAATGACTGCTCTGCAGAAAGACACTTTACACCCCCTATCCCTCCGCTGTAATATCATCAGTATTACCCAAAACTGCTATGAAATTGCAAATTTGATCCCTTTTCTCCAATTCTAGACCAAAAAGTCAACCCAAAAATGCAGGAAGAGGGGAGAAAAAAATTAAGGGAAAAATTGTCTATTTATAACTCGCACTACATTCGTCCATCATGAAATAAGGGGAAATAATTACTAGTCTTAGTCCTATATACCTCACATGTTTCTGCAGTTTAAACAAATCTGTTGTTATCTAATAAACAAACATATATGCAATTCCCTGACCAAAGAATATGAAAATCTATGCATTTTCAGATGAGCTGTGCGGCATTCTGCAAACACTATAATGCATCAGAAAACTGCGGAATTTCAGACAGAAATTTAAAAGCACATGAATTTTGAATTAAACAGAACATTTTTATTTTTGAACATAAATGCATTCTGTAAAAAGATGAGATAAATTCAATATAAATCAAACACGAAAATACTTTAAAACAGTAATCATGATGCAATATTAGACTTTTTAACACTTTCATCGAAAACCACACAGTTTTTCTCTGTTAACGTAGTTTCAAGTGCCAAATTGTGGTCAAATCTAAAATGTTGAAACATGCAGTGCCTATGAATTTTAAAATATCTCCTATATAGCTGTATTTCCATAGGATAAGTAAGTTGAAATAATCTGATTATGTAACACTACAACAGCTTTTTCATCCCTACCCCCCAGTTTGGAATCTGATAATTTAAAAGCACATGAATTTTGAATTCCACAGAACATTTTTATTTTTGAACATAAATGCATTCTTCAAAAAGATGAGATGAATTCAATATAAATCAAACACGAAAATACTTTAAAACAGTAATCATGATGCAATATTAGACTTTTAACACTTTCATCGAAAACCACACAGTTTTTCTCTGTTAACATAGTTTTAAGTGCCAAATTGTGGTCAAATCTAAAATGTTGAAACATGCAGTGCCTATGAATTTCAAAATATCTCCTATATAGCTGTATTTCCACAGGATAAGTAAGTTGAAATAATCTGATTATGTAACACTACAACAGTTTTTTCATCCCCACCCCCCGGTATGGAATCTGATACATTGCTGACCAATCATAGGTCGCCCCGTTCACTCGAGCCTGTCAAATGATTTACAATGGCGATGGTGCCTACAACTTTCCTGACCAAGAGATATGCACAACCGTCGATCAACACACAAGCCATTAATGTTATCTTCCAATATGAGAGGCCATGATAAACACACAAGCGTCCTTTTCAAGCTCGGAAATTAAGTCATCACCAAAAAGCAAAGTTTACAGAGGTCCCAAACTGATTACGATTTGCCCTCCACTTCCACCACAGGTGTCATAGAGATCAGGGATGAAATTGATATGCATCATCGTTCTCCTAAAGCCAGTCCAGGAAGAGATCAGGTTTTGAGATGTAGACCTGAAATGTTAAATTTGGATGAGAATGAGAATTCTGGGGCGAATACTATCCAGGGAAATGGTCATTGACATCCAGAAAATGGTCAAAATGTGGAATTCTGTCATTCAGTTAAATGTCAAGGGGAGAAGACAGGCCTGTGCAGTACCAAATTTCCAGCCCATTACTATTAGTGAGCAGAAGTGGGGATGAGGTTGGATTTACTTCTTAAAAGTGTATGAAATGCACATTTATCTCACCTGTTTTGCTTCTTTTTTTTTAATACTTGTGTTGAGGTCAATCATTCCACTCTATGAAACAATGCCCTGGCACCTGAAATGATAGGAGGCTGGGGATAAATATGCAATAAAAAACAGTGAGAAAATAAGAAAAAAATATGGTTTCAACTGGAAATAGAAATAAACCTCTTTATTTCTCGCGAACAGCCCGTCACTGGCCCTCCAAAAAGAAACCAGTTAACAATCAGTAAAAAAGTAAACCTTGAGTGTCACATAAGTCTAAGCCAATCTCAAAGGTAGATGCCATGTTTTGAGGTTCGGTCTAAATATTAAGGCCAACTGCATGTTTGGTCAAAAGTCACACAGGTGTGAATTTTGGAGTGTACATGTTAACATTTCATTGTATGATGTCAAAAACATGTTAGGTCTAAATGTTAAGGCCAACTGCAGACTTGGTTCAAGGTCACAACATGTAAATAGGGTTAGGGCACATGATTTTTTTACACAATTGTGGGTTTGGGCTAGGGTCAGAACTAGGTCTTGGCTTAGGCCTAGGCTACATGCTTCTTGACAAGATTGTGGGTTAGGGTTAGGGTAAGGACTGGGTCTTGGGTTAGGGTTAGGGTCAGCCTTGTTTACATCTCGTGACTTTAGACCAAATCTGGAGTTGAGTTGGCCTTAATATTTAGACCTAACCATGTTTTGATATCATTGTGAAGAAAATGTTACACATTTACAACCCAAAATTCACACTCAACCAACGGATACCCCCAATCATGGCTATTTTGATACCAAATAGTCAAAAAACTTACTGCTGGGCAATAAAAAAGCAGTATTCTTACTATTTCTGACACTTTCCATTCAAAATTTCAGGAAATAAGCCCTTGAAAAAATATCAACATCCCGAGTCGGCCATGTTTCTTTACCTCATCAGGACTCAGACTAGCAATTATTTGCCCATTGACTTCAATGTTAAATGGCTGTAACATCACAGGCTGTAGCTTTTTTCTCAACATTCCGTTGGTTCCAATCTTTATAGGCACAATGGGGACAACATTTGGCAATCTCCTCATCATAATTTTGTAGGGGGTTGACCATTTAGATTTTTTGCTACACGGATTTGAAGTTGACTGGGGTGAAAATCTCACTTCCGACACAATGACTGCTCTGCAGAAAGACACTTTACACCCCCTATCCCTCCGCTGTAATATCATCAGTATTACCCAAAACTGCTATGAAATTGCAAATTTGATCCCTTTTCTCCAATTCTAGACCAAAAAGTCAACCCAAAAATGCAGGAAGAGGGGAGAAAAAAATTAAGGGAAAAATTGTCTATTTATAACTCGCACTACATTCGTCCATCATGAAATAAGGGGAAATAATTACTAGTCTTAGTCCTATATACCTCACATGTTTCTGCAGTTTAAACAAATCTGTTGTTATCTAATAAACAAACATATATGCAATTCCCTGACCAAAGAATATGAAAATCTATGCATTTTCAGATGAGCTGTGCGGCATTCTGCAAACACTATAATGCATCAGAAAACTGCGGAATTTCAGACAGAAATTTAAAAGCACATGAATTTTGAATTAAACAGAACATTTTTATTTTTGAACATAAATGCATTCTGTAAAAAGATGAGATAAATTCAATATAAATCAAACACGAAAATACTTTAAAACAGTAATCATGATGCAATATTAGACTTTTTAACACTTTCATCGAAAACCACACAGTTTTTCTCTGTTAACGTAGTTTCAAGTGCCAAATTGTGGTCAAATCTAAAATGTTGAAACATGCAGTGCCTATGAATTTTAAAATATCTCCTATATAGCTGTATTTCCATAGGATAAGTAAGTTGAAATAATCTGATTATGTAACACTACAACAGCTTTTTCATCCCTACCCCCCAGTTTGGAATCTGATAATTTAAAAGCACATGAATTTTGAATTCCACAGAACATTTTTATTTTTGAACATAAATGCATTCTTCAAAAAGATGAGATGAATTCAATATAAATCAAACACGAAAATACTTTAAAACAGTAATCATGATGCAATATTAGACTTTTAACACTTTCATCGAAAACCACACAGTTTTTCTCTGTTAACATAGTTTTAAGTGCCAAATTGTGGTCAAATCTAAAATGTTGAAACATGCAGTGCCTATGAATTTCAAAATATCTCCTATATAGCTGTATTTCCACAGGATAAGTAAGTTGAAATAATCTGATTATGTAACACTACAACAGTTTTTTCATCCCCACCCCCCGGTATGGAATCTGATACATTGCTGACCAATCATAGGTCGCCCCGTTCACTCGAGCCTGTCAAATGATTTACAATGGCGATGGTGCCTACAACTTTCCTGACCAAGAGATATGCACAACCGTCGATCAACACACAAGCCATTAATGTTATCTTCCAATATGAGAGGCCATGATAAACACACAAGCGTCCTTTTCAAGCTCGGAAATTAAGTCATCACCAAAAAGCAAAGTTTACAGAGGTCCCAAACTGATTACGATTTGCCCTCCACTTCCACCACAGGTGTCATAGAGATCAGGGATGAAATTGATATGCATCATCGTTCTCCTAAAGCCAGTCCAGGAAGAGATCAGGTTTTGAGATGTAGACCTGAAATGTTAAATTTGGATGAGAATGAGAATTCTGGGGCGAATACTATCCAGGGAAATGGTCATTGACATCCAGAAAATGGTCAAAATGTGGAATTCTGTCATTCAGTTAAATGTCAAGGGGAGAAGACAGGCCTGTGCAGTACCAAATTTCCAGCCCATTACTATTAGTGAGCAGAAGTGGGGATGAGGTTGGATTTACTTCTTAAAAGTGTATGAAATGCACATTTATCTCACCTGTTTTGCTTCTTTTTTTTTAATACTTGTGTTGAGGTCAATCATTCCACTCTATGAAACAATGCCCTGGCACCTGAAATGATAGGAGGCTGGGGATAAATATGCAATAAAAAACAGTGAGAAAATAAGAAAAAAATATGGTTTCAACTGGAAATAGAAATAAACCTCTTTATTTCTCGCGAACAGCCCGTCACTGGCCCTCCAAAAAGAAACCAGTTAACAATCAGTAAAAAAGTAAACCTTGAGTGTCACATAAGTCTAAGCCAATCTCAAAGGTAGATGCCATGTTTTGAGGTTCGGTCTAAATATTAAGGCCAACTGCATGTTTGGTCAAAAGTCACACAGGTGTGAATTTTGGAGTGTACATGTTAACATTTCATTGTATGATGTCAAAAACATGTTAGGTCTAAATGTTAAGGCCAACTGCAGACTTGGTTCAAGGTCACAACATGTAAATAGGGTTAGGGCACATGATTTTTTTACACAATTGTGGGTTTGGGCTAGGGTCAGAACTAGGTCTTGGCTTAGGCCTAGGCTACATGCTTCTTGACAAGATTGTGGGTTAGGGTTAGGGTAAGGACTGGGTCTTGGGTTAGGGTTAGGGTCAGCCTTGTTTACATCTCGTGACTTTAGACCAAATCTGGAGTTGAGTTGGCCTTAATATTTAGACCTAACCATGTTTTGATATCATTGTGAAGAAAATGTTACACATTTACAACCCAAAATTCACACTCAACCAACGGATACCCCCAATCATGGCTATTTTGATACCAAATAGTCAAAAAACTTACTGCTGGGCAATAAAAAAGCAGTATTCTTACTATTTCTGACACTTTCCATTCAAAATTTCAGGAAATAAGCCCTTGAAAAAATATCAACATCCCGAGTCGGCCATGTTTCTTTACCTCATCAGGACTCAGACTAGCAATTATTTGCCCATTGACTTCAATGTTAAATGGCTGTAACATCACAGGCTGTAGCTTTTTTCTCAACATTCCGTTGGTTCCAATCTTTATAGGCACAATGGGGACAACATTTGGCAATCTCCTCATCATAATTTTGTAGGGGGTTGACCATTTAGATTTTTTGCTACACGGATTTGAAGTTGACTGGGGTGAAAATCTCACTTCCGACACAATGACTGCTCTGCAGAAAGACACTTTACACCCCCTATCCCTCCGCTGTAATATCATCAGTATTACCCAAAACTGCTATGAAATTGCAAATTTGATCCCTTTTCTCCAATTCTAGACCAAAAAGTCAACCCAAAAATGCAGGAAGAGGGGAGAAAAAAATTAAGGGAAAAATTGTCTATTTATAACTCGCACTACATTCGTCCATCATGAAATAAGGGGAAATAATTACTAGTCTTAGTCCATATATATATACCTCACATGTTTCTGCAGTTTAAACAAATCTGTTGTTATCTAATAAACAAACATATATGCAATTCCCTGACCAAAGAATATGAAAATCTATGCATTTTCAGATGAGCTGTGCGGCATTCTGCAAACACTATAATGCATCAGAAAACTGCGGAATTTCAGACAGAAATTTAAAAGCACATGAATTTTGAATTAAACAGAACATTTTTATTTTTGAACATAAATGCATTCTGTAAAAAGATGAGATAAATTCAATATAAATCAAACACGAAAATACTTTAAAACAGTAATCATGATGCAATATTAGACTTTTTAACACTTTCATCGAAAACCACACAGTTTTTCTCTGTTAACGTAGTTTCAAGTGCCAAATTGTGGTCAAATCTAAAATGTTGAAACATGCAGTGCCTATGAATTTTAAAATATCTCCTATATAGCTGTATTTCCATAGGATAAGTAAGTTGAAATAATCTGATTATGTAACACTACAACAGCTTTTTCATCCCTACCCCCCAGTTTGGAATCTGATAATTTAAAAGCACATGAATTTTGAATTCCACAGAACATTTTTATTTTTGAACATAAATGCATTCTTCAAAAAGATGAGATGAATTCAATATAAATCAAACACGAAAATACTTTAAAACAGTAATCATGATGCAATATTAGACTTTTAACACTTTCATCGAAAACCACACAGTTTTTCTCTGTTAACATAGTTTTAAGTGCCAAATTGTGGTCAAATCTAAAATGTTGAAACATGCAGTGCCTATGAATTTCAAAATATCTCCTATATAGCTGTATTTCCACAGGATAAGTAAGTTGAAATAATCTGATTATGTAACACTACAACAGTTTTTTCATCCCCACCCCCCGGTATGGAATCTGATACATTGCTGACCAATCATAGGTCGCCCCGTTCACTCGAGCCTGTCAAATGATTTACAATGGCGATGGTGCCTACAACTTTCCTGACCAAGAGATATGCACAACCGTCGATCAACACACAAGCCATTAATGTTATCTTCCAATATGAGAGGCCATGATAAACACACAAGCGTCCTTTTCAAGCTCGGAAATTAAGTCATCACCAAAAAGCAAAGTTTACAGAGGTCCCAAACTGATTACGATTTGCCCTCCACTTCCACCACAGGTGTCATAGAGATCAGGGATGAAATTGATATGCATCATCGTTCTCCTAAAGCCAGTCCAGGAAGAGATCAGGTTTTGAGATGTAGACCTGAAATGTTAAATTTGGATGAGAATGAGAATTCTGGGGCGAATACTATCCAGGGAAATGGTCATTGACATCCAGAAAATGGTCAAAATGTGGAATTCTGTCATTCAGTTAAATGTCAAGGGGAGAAGACAGGCCTGTGCAGTACCAAATTTCCAGCCCATTACTATTAGTGAGCAGAAGTGGGGATGAGGTTGGATTTACTTCTTAAAAGTGTATGAAATGCACATTTATCTCACCTGTTTTGCTTCTTTTTTTTTAATACTTGTGTTGAGGTCAATCATTCCACTCTATGAAACAATGCCCTGGCACCTGAAATGATAGGAGGCTGGGGATAAATATGCAATAAAAAACAGTGAGAAAATAAGAAAAAAATATGGTTTCAACTGGAAATAGAAATAAACCTCTTTATTTCTCGCGAACAGCCCGTCACTGGCCCTCCAAAAAGAAACCAGTTAACAATCAGTAAAAAAGTAAACCTTGAGTGTCACATAAGTCTAAGCCAATCTCAAAGGTAGATGCCATGTTTTGAGGTTCGGTCTAAATATTAAGGCCAACTGCATGTTTGGTCAAAAGTCACACAGGTGTGAATTTTGGAGTGTACATGTTAACATTTCATTGTATGATGTCAAAAACATGTTAGGTCTAAATGTTAAGGCCAACTGCAGACTTGGTTCAAGGTCACAACATGTAAATAGGGTTAGGGCACATGATTTTTTTACACAATTGTGGGTTTGGGCTAGGGTCAGAACTAGGTCTTGGCTTAGGCCTAGGCTACATGCTTCTTGACAAGATTGTGGGTTAGGGTTAGGGTAAGGACTGGGTCTTGGGTTAGGGTTAGGGTCAGCCTTGTTTACATCTCGTGACTTTAGACCAAATCTGGAGTTGAGTTGGCCTTAATATTTAGACCTAACCATGTTTTGATATCATTGTGAAGAAAATGTTACACATTTACAACCCAAAATTCACACTCAACCAACGGATACCCCCAATCATGGCTATTTTGATACCAAATAGTCAAAAAACTTACTGCTGGGCAATAAAAAAGCAGTATTCTTACTATTTCTGACACTTTCCATTCAAAATTTCAGGAAATAAGCCCTTGAAAAAATATCAACATCCCGAGTCGGCCATGTTTCTTTACCTCATCAGGACTCAGACTAGCAATTATTTGCCCATTGACTTCAATGTTAAATGGCTGTAACATCACAGGCTGTAGCTTTTTTCTCAACATTCCGTTGGTTCCAATCTTTATAGGCACAATGGGGACAACATTTGGCAATCTCCTCATCATAATTTTGTAGGGGGTTGACCATTTAGATTTTTTGCTACACGGATTTGAAGTTGACTGGGGTGAAAATCTCACTTCCGACACAATGACTGCTCTGCAGAAAGACACT